AAACAGCATCAATACTGTAGTTCTGTCTTTCTGTCCCTGAGTGTGTTTTCTCTCTTTCCTCATTCATCCAGCCTCTTAGAAACACTTTTTTCCAATCCATTTTTCTCTTGCTTTGCTTTGCAACCAATCTATTCTTTTTTCCTCAGCTCCTTGTGGTGTCAATGATGATTCGCCTACTTCTGCTGTACCTAATGTAATATATCCGTTTGCAACTGCTTTTTTTGGAAATGAGAGTCTAACTCTTTCGTGTTTATTCCATGCACTGCCAGCTAAGAAGAATTTCCTCTCAATTAAAATAAACTAAACTGCTAAGTATTGCAGCAGCCTGTACTCTTTCAAGGATTGCTTAAGAAGTTAACAGACAGCTTCTGACACAAAACTGTTTGCACTTTTAGAAAGATGTTGCTGGCCCTAAATCTCAAATTGTCCAGGGAAATCGAGGCTTGTTTTTCTCCCCGTATGGTCAAGGTGCCCTAACAAAAGGCACTTAACCCCTGCTGTTCCTTTGGAGCGCCACTGTGGCTCTAATTAACGTGTTTTACCCTGACTTGAGCCTCTGGGACAGAATTGCCTCTTAGGGCTTTTTCACTATTGGCAGAACTTAAACCCAAACACAGCCTAAACATGAGCCATGAACAGATGAACAGCCCGAGGGATTCTGCCTTGAGGGGCTCAGTTAAAGAACCAGATTGCAGGGCTCCCGGTTAGCTCAGTTGGTAGAGCTGGCGTCTCATGTGCTGAGGCTTAGTCCTTGCTACAGCGGCCCAGGGTTTGAGTCCGACCTGCGGCCCTTTGCTGCGTGTCATCCCCTCTCTCTCTGTCCCCCTTTCCTGTCTACCTCCAGCTGTCTCTATCAATTAAAGGCAATAAAAATACTTTAAAAAAAAAAAGAAAAGAACCAAATTGTAGCTTCCTCGTTGATAAATCATGTGTTCTTTGCAATTTTGCTGACACAGTTTAGATATATTTTTCCTACAGGCACCCATTGTTTCATTTCCATTCCATTCATTTCTGTACCGTATGGAAATAATTAGCAGTCTCTTGAAACTTGTCAGAGTTGCATACTACAGTGTTCTTACATGCTGTAGTAATTGTGTATTTGTGTATGGTGTTTTTTTCTCCTGGTTTCCCCACTAAAGTGACACAGAGGTTGGCCTATCCCTCTGGTAGGTGGAACTGAGAGAAAGATGTGCAATCACAACTCAGGGTTGAAAAAACTACCTAAGCTCTAGTTTCTTCATTTAGATCATCAATCAAAAATAATGCAGTATAGTACAGTGATCTCTGTGGTATAGATACATGTAAGGCATCATGTAACAAACTAACTACCTACTGTATCAATTTAGGTCTGTGAATGTGATTTTGAGTGGTGTGGATTGATAAATGTTTACTGTAACGTAGCCTACATAACATTACCTTTTTTTTGACAATTATCATGGTGATGGAGCATATAACTGAAGGAAGTTTCAAGAGGTTATACATACAGTATCATATCAGTATGTGGAAATGAATGAAAACCAATAGCTGACTTGAACATGGACTATTTATAGTAAATAGGCTAACACAGGCAAATCACTGGTCCTTTAAGGGCAGTGCTGTAATACTAAGTTCAATGGCCAACAATGAATGACTGCACAGAGTGCAGCAAATGCTCTCAGGTTAAATGAGGTCGGAAAATGTTTTTGCATGAAGACAAGCTTTATTTTCTCTGCACTCTGAATCCATAAGTCTTTGTCTGTGTGTCACAGTGATAGTCTTTATCTCACCCTGGCAGATGAATTCCTAAACAGAGAAGTAGTTCTGGTTCCAAGTTATGGTAACGAAGGAGGATTACAGACAAATCCAGTGTTAAATCTGCCTACGCTTGTTTTAATCTTTAGTGCCTTTGTTTCAGTTGTTTCGCAGATTTTGAGTGTTCCTATGTGTTTGTTTAATATTTAGAATATCCAGCAGAACACACATACTTTACACACACACACACACACGCTGGGAGAAACGGTTAATCTGGGCTTTATACCATATGGGTCTCCAGGCTCTCTCTTACATTTTGCTGTAACTGACAGTTCCATTAATTCTTGGTCTCATCCTGGAGTTTTACATAAGGATCAACTTCCACGCTCTCTGTCTGTCAGTCTGTCTGACGCTTTTAATCTGACCACAAACATCTTCTCAAAGGGTCTGTCAAGCTGTAATTAGTAAGTAAAACATACAGATGCTGTTGGTCTGCTTAACTACACCTGTTCTAAAACTGAATACAGTTTATTATAGCTTAGAAGCATTTTCACAACGTATCTATCACTGTTTAGTTTAACTAGAAATTAGCACATATTTCAAAGCATAAGAAAAGCAGAATTTAGTGTATCACTGTGGTCAAAAGATATCAATTTTATTTTTATTTTATTTTTATACTAGGCTTCAAGTTTCTACATCAAACTGTACAAGTTGCATACTGGACCAGACTAAAAGAAAACGCTACAACAATTGGCAAATTAAAGAGTGGAAAAAAACAAAAGTAAACTCAAATTAGAATATCAACAATACGGACAGATAATCCAATACCGGACAACATAGCAAGAGCTTTTTTATAGAATTAGAACATATTAGTAAGCAAGTAGACAGCGGACAGGGGAAGGTATAGCATCTGCAATATAGTTTGTGAGAGAAACATCAGAATCAACAACAGAAGAAGCAGTCAATAAAAGGCGGAGGAAGATACAGTCTGTGGGAGATGTGATATGATTCACTTGGGACAGGGGGAGCTTGGGGGTAATGAAGGGTGATTGCCTCGCTATAAATTGGTAATGGAAGTTCCAGGATGCGGAGGCAGCTGTATGTATAGAAGAGTACAAAGCTCCTCCGGCCAGATAATTGAATGAGGAGACCATTTCCTCCTTCACTGCTGCTGAGCTTTGCATGTTTGGTTTGTCTAATTTGGAAAATTCTCTTGTGTTTGTTGCTTCATTACTACGTTAAAAAACACATGTGCATGCATGTGATGAGCTCACTTAAGCGGACCACATATCTAATGATCATGGCTATGCTGCATTCGGCTTGCACTATTACTGTATGTGTCTAAATGAGAGGTTATAGAGGTCCTACATTCCTCAAGTTTGTTCCCTGTCTTCTTGTTGTGGACACATCATTACTGCATGATAAACAGTAAAAAATCAGAAGATCACAGCACAATATTCTCTCAGTATCCAGCAAGGGTTGTGCCAACATCCCTACAATGTTACACAACACTTGTTTTACTTTAAAGGTTCCTGCGTTTACATTCAGTGTAGAAATCCTTAATGGCCGAATACATTTTTCATGAACTCTAACTTGCAGTAACTTCTAACACATAAAGTTTCTTCAGCATTATTTATTCTCTCATTTTTTCAATATTGCAGCATGTTTGAGAAGTCACAGAACACGAGTCAGCTTGCGAAGTGAAAAAACAGTGATAAGACTGTGACTTTTGCTCACACCTCTTTCAGTTTGGGCATTGTCGGGTTGAGGTGCAGTTTAATCCAGCTGTCTGCTGATAAGGCTCACCCTGTCTGGTCTGATTTTCTCACCCTCAACACGACAGATACCGACCGTAATAAGTAAGCAACAAACTTTCCAACCAAGTCGCAGTTTGTTTACCGAGTAGCCAATTGTACACATTCTCAGGAGGGAAAAGCTTTAAACTAAATCTTTGAGACCACAGCATATCTGAGTCATATAATATTCCTTTCAGCAGGGAATGTAGAAGATTACAAAACAGATGCTAACAATGGTTGACTAAAGTGGCCATGGTGATGAACAGAGTTGTCCCAAAGTGCAGTATAATGTTTGCTAGCAAGCTAATGACTGTAGATAATGAGTCAAGTAATGAGCAACATGGTGACAGAGCTAACAGCTACCAAGCTAACTGTTGCAAATAAGCTAACGGACTACAAGTGACTTCCAGAACTCAAAGTTCGTCCCCGAGTGTCGAAGCGCACTGAAGCTACAGCCTCCAAAACCACCAAACTAGCTAGTGGACTGTCGCCTTCTTTCTACGTGTTTTATCCTAAAAACAGCTCCCTCATAGCATGTTAACCGCTAACACACAAACACTTTGGCTATCTAAACCCATAAAGACAACATGTACTTCAGAGAGCCTGAATGAATAACTATTACAGTGCTCTCCCGCCGTTTGAATTGTCTGTTTCATTTACGTCTGCTGCTGTGCTGATATTTGTCAGGTGCTGTAAAAGTCCGTGTGTTTTTCTTTTCCTCTTCTGAGTTGAAATGAATTCCATCAGTCTGGCTGCAGACGCAATGAAAATAATTTATCCTGTCTCCATCCTCACACAATCCATGCTATCAGTCCTCTCCCTCGGGTTAATACCAAAGCCGTCAAAATGAAAGGCATTGCTTAAATGAGATGACGTCAAATTGCACTCTGCCCCGACTTGCTGACTAATGTTTCGGCTTTGGACCAGCTTCATGTTGTGGTAAGAAAGATGAAGGTCAGGAGTCTGCTTACAAAATGTAAAATGACGATTTATGGAAAATAATATTCCTTTTGATATTTTTGTTGAGCTTGTGGTCACTCAAGACCTATACACACTATCTATAGTATATACTGTATACTGCCAACATAAATCCAAGTCTCTCACCTTTGCACCTTTGATAAAACAATCTCGATATGGGATCGTAATTTCTATCATTAAGGGTGATACATTTTGGATATTTTTTACTCTATATGGACAAATCTAGCAACCTACCACACGGCAGAAATAAACACAATGCCCATTTCCTATCACAAAGCATTGTTTGAGCAATACTAACATTTAACCAGCTTAGTGTGGACATACTCAGAGAATGAGTATTTCAAATGAAGTCCAAGTTCACACCAAAGGGTTGATGTTTCACAATAACAACCATACAGATAAATCCTTCTCACACAAGCATTACATGACAAAACACAGCATGCTGAGTAAAAATGCTATGCTGTATCTCTACACCATCACACCAGAAGGTCTCACCTGTCCAGGGCGATGCAGCAGAGGTGCAGTATGGACGCAGTGGTCAGCAGGACGTCCAGCGAGGTCCGGACCAGGCAGAAGGTCTCGCCGTAGATCCAGTGCTGGTGGACCAACTCGATGGCACCAAACGGCATTACGAGGACCGACACCAGCAAGTCGGCAAACGCCAGAGACACGATAAAGTAGTTGGTCTTGATTTTCCTGATGGAGGGAAAGAATGAGGGGAAAGACTGAATAATTTTATATACAGAACGGAGTATACAATATCCCTTTTTGTGATTAAGGAATAAAAAATGGTCATTATTTAACATACATATAAAGATCATTAAATGGAATGTGACTGGAGTCAGTGTAGGCTGCAGAGATTTGTTCCCATTCAGCCACAAAAGCATTCGTTCAGTCCAAAACTGAGGTTGGCCAATAAGGTCCAGACAGACTTGCTTTCTGTTTGATTTACAACTCGCAAAACCTTCGGCCAACACAATAACAAAAAGGCTGGAAATGTGTTCTCCCTTTGAGTGATGGGTTGACATATTTCAGGCAATTGAAACTTTGTTCCAATACCACAGTACCATTTTGGGTTGTTGCATTCTACTTGATACAATAGTTTCAATTAGTGGGCTGTGTGTGTGAAAGTGTAAGTCTCTCTCGCTCTCTTTTGGTAATGCGTAAGTTATGTTAACTAAGAAAAACGAGTTGTTAACTTATCTTATATTGAGTTAACTTAGCTGGTTTTAGAGTTAAAGAGCACTCGTTAGGCCATTATTGATTTATCTCCACCCCTAACGTTGCTTATTTCAGAGACCCCACAAAACTCAGATTATAACTCAAACCTGTTTACAATACATCACAAACCATGAAAAACAACAACTGCTCTTCTTTGTGTTTTCATGATTAATGACATCTGATGAGCTGTGTTGTTGTTTTTCTATAATTGCTTTTGCCCCCTCCCTCCAAAAAAGAAAAAAACACTTTAATTTTTGCTCTACAGCATAATTGTTTTTTTTTACATAAAACTGCCAGTCTCTCTCACTCCCTCTCAAATTCACTTACATGTGTGACTCAACATCACAGAGAAACTACAATGTCATACTTATTTAGTAATTTAAAATGTAAAACTAAACCTTTAATATATTCAAAACAAAATTTCTCTGTCTTGTGAAAACTTGTTTCCAATAAAACCGCGAACATGCAGCAGTTCAAGATATTAAAGTTCACTTATCAAAGGCAAACAGAGGCTGACAGTTTCTAGGTTTATCTTTCAATACCAGCAAAGACAAACAAACAAACAAAAAGAAATCAAATTGGAAATCAAATATTGGTTCCATTACTCACTAAACAATAGATTTCAGGTGAAAAGGACAACGACATCAAAATAGAGAGGGAAGAGGAAACATCCATCTTCCCATTCACTGGAGAGGGAGGAGGAATACAGGGACAGATGCTGAGTTGTAAAAGTGAAAAAGTTGGAATGAGGTAAAACCACAGAGAGAAAGAGATTAAGGTAGATTCATTCTGCAAACAGGTCAAAACTTTGTGATATAAACAGCCGAGAATGGCCGTGCATACAATTATCGGAAGTTAATTTATCTTGTTATCTGGAGAAAACAAGCTTTCCCATCTCGCAATACAGAGACAATCAACCCGTTATCATGAGAAACAAAATGTTTTTTTTTCTTCTGGAATTGCAGTGATTGTTGAAGTCCTATCTTCTCACTTCTCTATCTCATTGCCAGGAAATAAATAGCTTATATGAACTCTCAGATACACATTCTGCTAACAACTATTTTCAGTTCAGTTATGAATCCTCCCCAACAGTAATGACAGTGATCTTGAAGGCTGAAATTGGTGTGATCAAATGAACAGACACTCATTTTCCAGTTCTCCATTATCATCCTGTGACCTTGAAAAAACATGCTGTTGTCTCATTAATATTGATCTCAGGGAATTGGCCTTTTGTTTTCTTCAGATAACAAAATACTAAATATAAATATATAAATATAATATAAAACTTGTGATTTCAAAATAAAAGCAATTTGAAAATATTTGTAAGCACAGTCGTTCTCGGATTTGGTAGAATCCACCTTGATTACTGCTACTGAGTCTTTATTCTTTAAAGAAGGTGTTTTTTCTTTATCGAAGCAGCCTTCACACAGGGTCGTGCTGCTTCTACAAAGTATTGCTGGGATAAAAAGGCAAACATTACAATAAATGGACCCCAAGAGATATCTTATTTGTATCTACTACATTGTTCCTTGTAACAGGGGTCTGGTTTATAGCCCATTCAGGTTGGGATGGTGTTCTGTAACTAACTTCCTGAGTATGTTTTTTTTGTGTCCTGTAGATTCTCATTATATTGTTCATATATATCATTTTGTCTTTAATATATATATTTAATTTTAATATTTAGTATTTAATAGCATGCATTTGCTATGTCTCTTTGCTTTAGGTGAGCCAGATGGATGCCCATATGACCTGTGTGTTTGTGAATGGGCCGCTCTATTTTAAACTGGTTATTTCAGGTGGAGTACATCATTTGTGTTCAGTGTGTGTAAAGGGAGACAGCAGAGTGGTTTAGTGTGGGGGAGAGTGAACTGAGATACAAAGTCACAGCTGCTGTGTGAATGAGTATTATGTATTATCAGCACAACTCAGTGAAGGCAGTGAGTATCTATGACCCGAATCAGGCTGTGAACACACACACAAGCATTCATTCACTCGCACATAGGAGTGCACGATAATTACCGGCCCATAGTTATCGGGCCGATAACAGGAAATTATTACATCATTCCGATAAGTCCATTATCATGACGAATAGCCCCAATAACATATATAATTTTGTCTGCCCCACTCCCACTATGAGACCTGAATGGCCTGCAGTGAATGCTGCGTTCAAGTGACGTTGGCGTAATCAGAAAAACTCTTTCTGACTGGGAAAATTCAAGAATAGCCCCTCATGTCGGAAAATAACTCGTTAACTCGGTCATAATTTTGGTAGTTGCTGACTTGAATTGATATCCACAGAATTTTTCCACATGTTACACATAAACAATAGCCAAAAGAACGACTAACAAACGTGGGAACAGGGAACAGGGAATTTCCGTCACACCGTGAATGCAGCACAGCGTGCTTACGTTTGAAAACAGACAACATGGTGTCGATTGTGTGGGACTTTTTCAAAGTTTCTGAAGAAGACAGGTCGCTTGTTATTTGTTACAAATGTTCCAAGCACGTTCCGCGAGGAGGTAAAAGTAGCACAAGCTTCAATACGTCAAACCTGATAAGTCACCTGAAACATAGCCATCGCTTCGACGGAGTCTCTCTCTCTCTCTCTCTCTCTCTCTCTCTCTCTCTCGGTAAAACAACTCAACCTCATTTAATTGCAATTATGAATAATTACGCATTTACTTTAGTGAAAAGGTATTCATTTGAATGGAACCATAAGCCAGAATCATTTAAACTTAATTTTTTGTTACTATGGAATGCACTTTTTCAGTTTGTTTACACAGACAAGTGTAACTTGTGTCAGTGCATTATGCACATTTTATTTATTGTTATTGAGGAATGCACTTTTTCAGAATGTGTTTACATAGAAATGTTTGAATCTAACTTGTGTCAGTGCATCAATTTTCTATATATATTTATTTTTTTGAACTTCTGGAATGCACTTTTTCAGTTTGTAATCCCGCTGCATGTATTTGCATCAGTTCATGGGGCCTTTATTTTTTTTTTGAGAGGCTTGCCAATAGTTTTTCATTGGAAAAAATATATATCTCCATTTAAAGAGTCAAAAGTGTTTTTGGGTTTGTTCGTTGTATTAATGTCATGATCTTAGGTCATGATCATATAGATGTATATGTGTGTGTGTTATTGGTTATCGGTATCGGTTTTAAAAAAAAGTTATCGTGCATCCCTACTCGCACAGCAACGCTTTCTTTTCAAACTCTCACTCACATTTTACACACACAATCTGTGCCAATGTTATACAGCATCCTAGTACTATAAGCAATGATTTACATTACATATTTTGTGTTTAATGCATTATAAAGAGCAGGCATTCAGTCTAGGGGAAATAGCTACTTTAAGCAAAGCACATTTCTCTAATAAATGATAAAAATGTATGAGGGGATCAAACTAGACATTGTTTTCTAAAAACATAAAGCACTAAAAATGGTTTTGAACCTGCGTTGAACTCTTTTGTTTGAGCTACAAAAATGCAGATGAGTTTTGGATATAAATTATAGGTCTGCTCAGAAGTGAATTATGAGTTTTAAAGTAGTAAGGTAGATTATATAGTGTTGCATACCTAAAAAATAATAAAATTACTGACTTGAAAAAATGCTCAAGTACCCCAAAACATTATTATTAATTACAGTAACATGAGTAGTTGTAGTTTGTTACTTCCACCCCTGATCCAATACCACTATATCCACAATAAGATACCAACCTACTTATTGGTAGGTTGCAAACTGCAATCTCACCACTCAATGCCATTAAATCCTACACATGGTCCTTAAAGTTTAATAGCAATAGAGAATTATGTGAAGTATCAATCAAACCGATAGATTGACTGACTGACAGTCACTGGTGATTGGTTTGGACAAAATGCCCCCTACCCTCTAAAACGTCTTACATGAACATGATTAAACATGAAAGAATAGGACAAATTAAAGGGAAATTCTGTCTGATTGCCAGATAAACTTTGGCAAACATTCACACACACAAAATTTGTCATGTTCGCTCAGCTAATAGCGGCTTCTTTATTTGTATTATGCACTGCATTGTGGAGCAATAGTGTACATCAATACGTTTTTGCCCCCATTCATCATGAGCTGAACTCAAAGATCTAAGACTTTCTCTATGTACACAAAAGGTCGTGACAGTGAAACTGCACATTTTCGAGTGGCCTTTTATTGTGGCCAGCCTAAGGCACACCTGTGCAATACCCATGCTGTCTGATCAGCATCTTGATATGCCACACCTGTGAGGTGGATGGATTATCTCGGCAAAGGAGAAGTGCTCACTAACACAGATTTTGACAGATTTGTGAACAATATTTGAGAGAAATAGGCCTTTTGTGTACATAGAGAAAGTCTTAGATCTTTGAGTTCAACTCATGATGAATGGGGGCAAAAACAAAAGTGTTGCGTTTATAATTTTGTTCAGTGTATATATAGGCAGCTATGCAGCTGGGACACACATCTGTCACCCACATACGTGCATAAATACTCCCTCTCTCATCTTCACTGTCTTTGTACCTCACTCTCTCTCTCTCTCTCTCTAACACACACACAAACACACACAGGGACTTTGTGCCTGACAAAGACCAGAACTACCAACACAAAGTAACAGGATACCACTCAGCTCTGTCAGCTAGCAGTTAACTTTTCTGATAAATAAAGCAAAATAATTAATTATTAATCAATCTAATCGTTGACCGGCGGCCTGGTAGGGTAGGTCAAATGGAGGTTGAAAGTATTGCCACAGGGTTTGTATGTAAAAACCTGTCAATTTGATGGAAAGCTAGGCCCCAGCTAGTCAACTGACCGGTCGACTCATCAGTGAGTCAAACTGTCAGATTAGAAAGGAATCCCGACAGGTAGGCAATCAAACGGAGAGTGAGGATGTATACCTTTTATTATCAGGCTGGTAACCATCTTTGCATTCACAGACGAACCACACCAGCCAACCAGCTAATCAGTGAGCGAGTCGATCAGTCAGCTGGCCTGTTCTCCACGCTTTCTGCAGCGTGGATGGTCCACGGTCTATAAATAGCTTCAGTAAGAGTGGATGGCTGTGAGGGTTTTCCATCTGCCTGTCACTAACCCAAACAGCCCCTTAAAACAGGCTGTTAGTGCTGGAAACAGCCAGCTGTCTGCTCCGCCTGCTGCATGTGGGGCACGTGTAAATCATGTTGACATGCACACACACGTTCACGTACATGCATTTCAAACACACAAGCAAGCACAAACATAAATACAGCACTGTACACACACACACACACACACACACACACACACACACATACTGTAGATGCATGCCCACAGGCTTATATACACACACATACCATACACTGTACGCTCAAACATGTGAGACACACACACACACACACACACACACACACACACACACAGCAGTGTTGGCTGTAACTCAGAACAGTTTAGAAACCATTAACATGCCCAGAGGGGGAGGCGTCATGTTTAGTTAGGATGACATATCGTGTTTAGCTTAAAGTGCTAAGAATAAATAAACTTTATTAAAAGTGCTTGTGTTACCGTGAGGTTGGTGTAATTTACAGACGAATGTGGCATCCACTCTGGAAGGCAGAGGTGAGGTGAGAGATGTGAAGGCATTTTTAAAAAAAACTAGAGTTAAGAGTAGAAGAGGCATGAGGACATCAGAGATGGCGTCAATGTAATTTAAATACACAGGCATACATTTGTTCACACAACAAGAAAGTAAATTAAAAATTCCTCATTACAAATTGGGCAAGGCTTGAAAGAGGACATCCTGATCTCTTCATTACTATGATTATAGTGAAGACAATGATGCATGTATAGTGCAGCAATTAAGGATGAGGACAATAGAAATAGCGCCTGGGACAGGAGTGCCTGGGACAATTCTGGAAGAGTGGAGAAATGTATCATTACAAATGAAATTATTACTTTTATGTGTCATGCAATATATATCAATTTAACTGCTGGTGTTCAAATTGAACAATGTGAGGTGGCTAGACCAGAGATGCCAACTTGGCAACTTTCTCACTAGATTTAGGGACCCTATAGTGTCTTTATTTCTAAAACCGAATAGCGACACATTTAGTGACCATCTGGGAGAAAGCAGGAAATATATACCAATATATTATATTGTAGTTCCCATGCATGCTAATCAGAGCAATCACAGTCCACGGCTCCTCTGCACCGGGGTCTCTCCCTCTCCTCTTGTGCTGTGCGAAGGCAGTCAATAGGTGTGGTGTGTGGGGCACGTTGGCCTTCTCTCTCACTCTTTCTCTCCAGATCTGTGGACTATGGTGTTCCTATTGCTTATATGTAAATAGCTGTTTGACCTTTTCTCTCACTCTTTCTCTGCATTAGGGTGTTATAGCTTATATTGAAATTGTTTGTTCTCTTCTCCCTCCCGTAAAAAACGTTTTTACTTCAAATGCCCCAAAACAGGTTTGCATTTGCACTGTAGTTCGCAGTGATGCATTTATTGATCAGTTGTAAATAAACAAGGAATATTAACTCAACCAATAACTAAAATAATAATGATAACTGATTGTGTGTGAATTTGGGACAATTGTTGTATGAGGTACATATCGTCAGTGTGTTACCTACAATAGTGTGCCTGCAGTTTGGAGAAGCAGTGCTGTGGAATGGGGTTGCAGAAAAACTTATTTTAGCCACATGAAAAAAAAAATCAATATCAGTCTAAGTGTACGTTATATTAATATTTTCACTGCTTTACCTTGCCGTCTGACAACCCTTTCCTTCGTCTGTCTGGGACTTCTGTCTGCTTCTCCTGGAGGCATGCTGACTATCGTCTGCTGTAGGTAATATGACTATGGATAGGTACCTTACACAACCCAACTTCAGTAAACTCAAACTAATCCTTTAATGATTAGTGATTTCTTATAGATCTGCCCGATGTCCAGTAGAAACAGCATGCATACTGTGTGGCAGCATGTGTCTGTGTGTGTGGGGGGGGTTCTTGTTCACACACTTGACATGACGCATGGAGAGAAACAAGAGGTGGTTGGTAACAGTGGTTGTGTTTGTGTGGTGGTTATTGATGAGTGGGAGCTTTTCTCTCTTACAGACTGCACTGACTTCACTGCTATCCAGTTTGTCCACCTGGTTATAAGACTACTTGCAAACGGATAGATAGATAGATAGATATTCCTTTATTTGTCCCACAATGAGGAAATTCCCCATATATATATAATATATGAATTAATCACAATGTAAGCATATGGGGAAAAAGTATTTTTGAGCCAGTTTAAATCACGTGACAGACGACATGGCTGTAATTTGGGCACAATGTCAAATTAGCTTCAAAGCCTGTCTCTCTTCCTGGGGGCTTGGGCTACATTGGCATCTACTAGCATAACACACCTGAATCTGCGACCAAACTGCTGGCAATCCAGTTGCATTGTGGGTAATGTAGGTCCCAGGTTTTGACATGGAAGAATGCGTGGAATAGCAAAGAAGAGATTTCTGGGTGTGCTGCATAGATTTTGATACCTTTCTTTGCTATAGGAGTGCAATGTTAAATTAGCAGAGAAGGCTCAGCCTGTAACACTGAGGTGTGTGTTGGCTTTAGGATACTGCCACAGGTAAGGACTGCAAAGATAAATTACAATTCTGACTAACTGTTTTTTTTTACTGATTGACTGATTACAGGCTGACTGATGCTTGATGATGTTTGCTGGCTGTTTTGCAGTTTTCTTGGTTTATTAATGATGTGCTCAGAGTTATTCTTCTTTCTGTCACGAACACTGTCACCCGTGGGACACTCCCACTGAGAAGGAGATTTTTTTGTGTAGTAGACATAAAGACAATGAGGCAGGAAGAAACAAATATGGTGCGCCATGATTCTCTCCTCAGGGAGGTGAGACATCACAGCGGTGACTTTGACACTCACCAGTGTTCTTAAATACACACATACAGTCCACACACACACACACACACACACACATACACACACACACACACTGCACGTAGGCAGTTGGCAAATATACACAGAAATAAAACCTCACATGTACACACACCTGCCTACATTAACTTTTTTTTTTGGCGCACACTCACCCTACTCCACCCACACACACATGCACATCATGTCAGCATCCTGGGGACCCTGAGCTCTCAGGTGTCACAAGATAGAAAGAGACAAAGAGAGATCAGAGAGACAATAAGTGAAAGAGAGATGACACAAGGGAAGAAGAGAAAGAAAAGGTAGAGATGACAGGAGGAGAGGAGGAGGAGGAGGAGGAGGAAGAGGAAGAGAAGAATTACTGCGGTGGCAGCTACTCCCACATGACCAGCCGTCCTCAGGATGACCTGCCAGCTCTGGCCTTGTCTCACGTGCATTATTGGCTTGGACAGAAACATCACCCTTTCTTTGAGCAGTGTATATTCATGTTAATGTATTACTTAACTGAGACAGTCTGAATTCACTTCTTTGCCGACATACCAAACCTAAACCCACTGTGTGTTGCCACTTTATTAGCCGTTTTGGTTCATTGTATGCAAGTGTATGCACTCTAGGAAAGAAAGGAATATGTGTAGGAAGAAGGAACAAAAGCTCTGTCCCACCTGAGTTGTCTGTCCTTGCAGACGGCCACCATGACCAGCAGGTTTCCCAGGATGCTCATCAGCATGACCAGAGACAGGAAGCAGATCAGGGCCATCTGCTTTAGCATGCTATGGAAACAGCAAAAAGACACAACAACAGCACATCAGCACTGATCTGCAGAGTGAAACTACAGTCTGTACCTTACAGATAAGAGTGATGAAAAGAAAAAAAAAACTTTAGTTGGTTTAACTGCACAGAGGCAAGACTTTTTATGCAAAAATCAATCTTTCCTTTATCTGCCTACATCACGAAGTGGAGCTGATTCAGCCAAAAGTAATCCCTTCGCACTAATTGCTTAAGTTGTTCAGGTATGGCCGCAGTCATTGGCAGAAAAACTTTTAATGAGACTGAGCGCTCCATCCAAGAGCCAAAGCCTGTTTTTTTTTATGTAATAAAGTTTCTGTTGCTCATCAATATGTCTCAAGTTGAAAATCTGATAAAACAATAATGGTGAATCTTTGACGCAGTTGAAAGTCATCTTTTGACATCTATTCCATATCCGCAGTGAAATGAGGCAAACAAGTTCAGAGGTTTGGTATCTATGGTTTTCTATCTATGGAGAGTTATTTATATCTCTTCCATCTCCAAGGTAGCCTGCTGGATCACAGCAATTAGCCAAGCAGCAGAACTCTTCTTTAAATCAGCAACATGAGCATCAGAGAGGCTGTGAAGCGAGAGAGGGAGACGGTGGCTGTGATGTAATACCTTGTGTAATGTGAGTTACATGTTTATTGAAGTACATGCCTTTTTTTTTCTACTCTTAGTGATTGCTGATTGAAAAGGTTGCCATGACAAGTAGTTAAAAGGTTTAACATTTATCGCAGCCAGTAATACATTTCATTTGTGTGGTTGATTAGTAATAATTGGAGGCGTCTATGTTGGAATGAGCTGCAACAGCCACCATGGCTGCAAAAACAAAAAAATGAACACATACTATAGAAACTCAACTCAAATATTTGAATCTCAGAAAAAAAATCCTATGTTAGCAGCAATTCAGAGGTGTGGAACCAGGCCACTTTAAAGATCCAGCTCTGCATAACCCTTTATGCTTTTATTTGTCTTAAATTCTGAACTGAAAACTCAGTGTTCTGACTTGTTCTACTTCACTCTAGTGAGAGAAAGAGAAAGTACACTTCCTGCTGTGCTGGGGTCAATGTTTACATGCGGGGAGTGATGTGGTCAGAGCCTAGAATAGGAAGTAAAACTTACCTTTCATCTATATATATCTCGAAATAACACATAATTAAAGAACCCCACCAACCTGCCAAACTGCTCTTAAATTCTTTAATTCACGGTGCTTGAACTAATCTTGTCAACAAAAGGAAAACACATCAAATCTATGCTATCTGTATTGTGAATTCCATTGTTTTTTAGTTTTTGTAAAATACATTTTCTTAGAATTTCCACTCCTTTAGCCATGATTGTTCTGTTTCTATGCAGGTGCAGGTGGAGTGAAAGATTAGCCCACAGTGAGAAATAGTTCCCATTTGAAGCCATGTTTACAGTTTTGTTGAGCCATTTTTTTCCCTTCACTAACCATCTTGTCATCACATTTTAGCTTGTAACTAATCATGGGTGAATGCAAGCACTACATTCATGAACATAACTATGTAGCAGGCTGATATTGAAACAAAATATTACAGGAAATGTAAAACTTATTTTTAATTACATTTCAGTGATATCATAGTTTAAGTATTTTCATACTGAAATTTGATAGTAATATGTTTTTTTTTTTAATTAATATATTAAATTAAAATATTTCAGAGATTCTACCACAAACCACTAGAGGCAGATTGCATACCATCAGTGGTAAACTTACCATAGTTTGAGAACCAGTGTTCCAAAATGATAAAGTCCTTTTACTGAGTCATTAAATCACTGTTACAAGTTACAAATGGCATAAAAGTCCAATTTTTTTGTCAATCAACATTCAATTTAAAGTTTCAACAATTCACAATCAGACGTCTTCAGTATTTTCAATTTCCATCCATTTTCCAAAATATCTCTTTGTTCAGTGTGAAGAAAATTGCAAGAAAGTTTGACATGTTTCTGTCTGATTCAACCTGAATAAAGTTAAGACCAGGTGCAGGGCGCTAATCCACTATCCTCCATGGGGAACGTGACATATTGTATTGCATAAAAGTGCAGGCTTTGCATTTTCACTCCTGCACATATGACCTTGGCATGGAGTCAACAAAATGTCTCAAGGTACAGCAAAGTAGGCGGAATGAGTTATAAATCAAATCCCTCAGACTAAGCTGTGTGGTTTAAGAGCCCTCTGAAAATGGCTTGTTTAATCTCAGACTTGTTTGACATTGGTAATGCATTACAGTATCCTCCCGAGGTTTGTGGTCTCCCGTACTTGAAGGCTTGACAGGAAGGCAGCAGCAGGAGTGAGAACAACTCCATCACACGAGCATAACTTTAGTTTTCTTCCCCCGTGTGTTTGTCCTGCAGGTCTACAGAAAATCACAAGTTTGTGAAGCGTTTATGTTCTGTAATATGCTGGTACATGCCTTTACTGTATGATTCACTGCTGGAGTCAGGAGCTGTGCGCCGTCCCTATCTGCCAAATTATTTTACTCTCACCATCTGAGGTTCAAAGGCGAAGTGATAGTGTGTAAATGAGGCCTGTTCTTTGATCAGTGGTGCCAACACACTAATCAGATCAAATGGGAACGCTGACAGGTTCTCAACAGAAGCATCATTAGGTTAGAATGGCCTCAGTAGCGCCATACCAATCTTCTTTCATCTTGAATTTGCCGGCTACAGTCTGACCTTTCCCCTAAATGAGACACTGATGTGCACGTTATTGTAGTAGCAACTACCATTTAACACAGCTATGGGTGGGCATGACAGGCAGCGTAAAAATGTCCTCTTTCGAGCAGGAGCCTGTCCTCATTTTGGATATGATAATGCACGCAGAAGCAAGAGCAAGTGCTTTCTCTCTGAGCTTTCAAAACACACACTTACTGCTCATTAGTTGCCTGTCAGCTTCAGTTTATAAAGCTGATGGCGTCTGCTTTCTGATTCTTAAGGAACAATAAAGCTCAGCACCCAGTTGTCCAACTCCTATTCAGCAACAACACCGTTACCTCAGAGCCTCTATTGAACTTTGATGCTGAGTTGCACTTTGAGACAATGTCTGATGAGAAGAAAGTGTTTTCCTTTCATGCTACACATGATTCCCTCCCGATTCACAGACTTGAACCTGCAATCTGCCACCTGCAACCCTACTCATTTAACCTTCTAGTAAATTTACAAAAAATGTCTAGATGTCTGAGTTTACCTGAGCTAAATTTGGTTGAAGAGGCACGTTTAGATGTAACCTGTTGTCACCAGTGCTTATAGCTGTTCTGAATATCTACGCTCGAGGGTCGGACGAAAACCACAGAAGGAGGCAAAAGTCACAGAAAGGGGAAAAAATTATATAATTACGCAATTGGGCATAACAGCCCAGACTTCCAAGCAGTGTCTCCTTGACTCATGGTGTTGCACTTTGTTGTTCACACGAAACTGACTGAATTAGCAGTGTGAAGAATGAAAATGAAAGTTTCAAATCCGGCGCACTTTCTCACCTTCACACACCTGCCTAGTTTCTACATGAAATGGCCACAAATGTCATAACATCGGTTTTGGAAAGTTACAAATATTTTTGGTGCAGCTTACCCAGTTCCAGCAGAAGACCTTGGAAAGATGTGATTGTAAAGGTTTTCAGATGTTGTTTGAAGATCCATGAGGCATTTTTAAACAAGATGAACCTGTGACCTACGATAGGTGCTTTCAACCAAGAGCTATTTGTCCCAGAAAAGTTGCATGCTTCCTTCACAAAAACAAACTAAAAACTGTTTGAGAGCTGTAGTACCAGCGCTTACAATTTCTTTGTGCTAGCATGGGGTATCTAGGTGTAGTGTGAACCTAAGGTAATCAGCTGTCCTGACTTCAGTGGGGAGTTCATTCCACCACAGAAAAGGAGCCTTGACGAAGATAAGCGGCAACAAGGTCCTTGGTACTAGACGAATTTCGACATGCCCAGCACCAAATCACTGGGTTTCCATGATTACATGTATCTCAAAAGGTCAGATGTCAAGTCAAATGTATTTGTGTTGTCCAGTATCACTTAAAATGTCTGAAAGGACCTTGCAGTAACCATTCCTAATCAGCACAAACTCTAAACTGCCTAAATAAATGCCACAAAATACCTTGTTTTCACCCTTGATAATCAAATAATGCATTAAATGAGTTAGTGCAGACACATGTTTCTGCAAGCTCCTGTATATTTATTGTGTTTAGAGACAGCAAGAGCCCATAACTCTTAAAACAGACAGTTGTGTGTTTGACAATGTTAGAGGCATTTGTGACAACTCTGTTCTGTCAGTCTTCTCTTTTCTTTTGCCTTCACCGCACCACATGTTCTAAATTGATTTTCCAGATGTATGAGGAACCCCTTCTGCACACCGTCATTTGCTCTTAAATCCTACTTTACAGATCTGTGCATGTGGAAGACAGAGGGAGGGAGAGGGACTGCAGAAATGCAGTGCCAGAGGTAAGAGGGAAGGACTGAGTCAAACAGAAAAGTTGTAACTTTGTTGACATCTGATACACATGAACTCTGACCTGCAGCTAAGCTGAACTTCTGGTGGGCAATCAGCAAGCAGCAGCCTCATTTAGGCATTCAGAGACAGATGAGGGTTGACTGGGGAAATACCTCATCCAGACAAGAAGCTTTAAAGCTCCAATCCGTCACTGGACGGCTGGTTTGCTTTAAATTTTTGCTAATAGTGAATATCTTTTAAAACTAAATGTAAAAATGTTTTAAAAGCTATCTCCCCAACTGTGTCAGGAAGGGAAAAAAGAGATCCCACCCGAATCACCTACACTGCCTCAAATTATCTTCTGCATCACTGCTATGGCAGTAATTCTGAAGCTTGGCTTTAGCCTTTGGAGTGGCTCTATATCAGGTGTCTGTACCGAACAAGCTGCTGAAGTGCTGCTGATTGGATCTAAAAAGCAAGGCTTTTTTTTTCAGCCCTGATGAATGGCAGTCAGGAGCCTTGGTGATCCACAG